TTGAACGGTGGCCACAATGTTCCCCTAACCAGTATGTGGAACATATACGCGTCACCTAACTACCACTCACTCCACATCAGACTTCATGAATGCCCAGTACTACACCGAGATTGAGTTGGGCTCGCCTCCGCAATCATTCAAAGTCATCCTTGATACTGGGTTTGTCAAAACGCTGACTTATAGTAGCATGGCAGCTCATATCTCTTTGATAGTTCGAGTAACTTGTGGGTTCCCAGCTCCAAGTGCACGTCCATTGCCTGTTTCTTGCACGCGAAATACGAGTCCGGTTCTTCCTCATCCTACAAAGCAAATGGCTCCGCTTTCTCCATCCAATATGGTACTGGCTCAATGGAGGGATATGTTTCCCAAGATACCCTTGCCATTGGCGACATCTCCATCAAGAAACAGGACTTTGCAGAGGCAACCAAGGAGCCCGGCCTCACATTTGCTTTCGGCAAGTAAGTGTTTTGTAGCTCGCTCTCAAGTCATCTTCTGACTGAGGCACTAGATTCGATGGCATTCTCGGTCTCGGTTACAATACCATCTCTGTCAATCATATCACCCCTCCCTTCTATAACATGATTGACCAGGGACTTCTTGATGCACCCGTCTTCTCATTCCGCATGGGTTCCTCAGAGGAGGATGGAGGTGAAGCTGTCTTCGGTGGAATCGACCACGCAGCATACACTGGTGACATCACCTACGTTCCCGTCCGCCGCAAGGCATACTGGGAAGTTGAACTCACCAAGGTTTCCTTTGGCGGAGACGAACTTGAACTAGAAAGCACCGGAGCTGCTATTGACACAGGTTAGTATACCAATCGATGACGCATGCAGTTTTCGCTTATACTCTTTCTAGGCACTTCGTTGATTGCTTTGCCCACCGACATTGCGGAGATGCTTAACACGCAAATCGGCGCAACACGATCATGGAATGGTCAATATCAGGTCGACTGCTCCAAAGTACCATCTCTGCCAGAGCTCTCGTTCTATTTCGGTGGCAAGGCATACCCCCTCCAGGGCAGTGATTACATTCTCAATGTTCAAGGAACATGTGTCTCTGCCTTCACTGGCATGGACATCAACCTCCCTGGTGGCTCTCTTTGGATCATCGGTAAGGATTAAATTTAGCTTTGAATGCTTGCAATGCTAACGAGGTTATACGCAGGCGACGTTTTCCTCCGTCGTTATTTCACAGTTTATGACCTCAGCAGAGACGCTGTCGGCTTCGCAGCTTCCAAATAAACACCACTACTATCTTGGACATCGTTTGAGCTTCTTGGTTGATTAACAGACGATTGTGCACGGAAGCGACGGCTGCTAATTTTGCTTTCATATTGTAACCACCATTTTAGCTCTGTAATATATACCGAACAATCCCGACTGGATGCTTCATCCGTACATTTCGTGACACTCGCTTCAAGATAGCAAGCTAGTGAATTAAGTGAATGAGTACATACCGCTCAGTGCATGAAACTATGGTATCGACGCCGGAGAAACATTCTCAGTCCTTAATAAAATACCACCAGGCGGTAACTGGTCTCACAGTATCCCTGTTACCATTGGGGAACAGCTCAGACTTCTCGCCAGAACATATCTGCGACCCAATAGTACCAGCGACGAGGACAGTATCAAATAGTTCCCCATTGTCGTCAAGTTTGACATCCAGATGTGTGCACCCACAAGGAACGTCCGCACTGTCGATCGTGGGATACGGGAAACCATCAAGGGTGAGATGCGGATTCCGCTCGCGGATGGTGTAGACGGAAGCAAATTGCCCTGCAGGCAACAACTGCGGGTCTGCTGGTCGAAGAAGTTTCTTCTGCTCGCGACCATGTATCCGGTCTTCATTAAGCGTATTGCCTTGCCAGCGACCTTTTTCATCGAAGACACAGAAAGCCGTGATCCATCCCGACAACATCGTAGGACCACTGCCGCCACCTTCAAAGTGCGCCACTTTATTCCAAAACTCGAGGTTCTCTGATGTATCGGGCTGATCGAAAGATGCGACAAACCGTGAAATGATCGGATGTAGAAGGTGGTACCAAGCGAAAGTCTGTATCCCATACATCTTTAACCGTTCCAGGCGGGCTAGGATACCTTCCCAGTCTCGTCTCTCGCCCTCTAATGTCACGCGAGGGATACCACAACGCAAGGAAAATTTGTAGGAAAAGTATTCTTTCATGGTTGCCATCATCACCATTGCGAATGCCGTCGAATCCACGAGCGTCGTGGTCGTAAACGTGGGCATGATCCACTCCCGAAGTGCGGGGTCAACGATGCTGTTGTGCATCAAGTTTGTCATCTGACGGGACATGAGGGCAAAATCTGCGGTGTATCGATTTCCTTCTGAGATGACCGTCAACTCCTCTTTCCCCTCGTGGCTCACGAAATTCGACCGCAGAAGCTCCGCATTGCCATTCACGAAAAAGCTGAATTGGACGAGGATGGCAAGCCAGACGTCATCTGGCCGTATTATCAGCCCGCGGTGATTGTTGTAGGCCTCGATGACTGTGTGGACAAATCCATTTTTCTGAGGAATAATATCCCGAATGGAAGCTACGGCGCTTGGCAGGGAAGTCTGGAGTAGTTCGTTGCATTTGGCGTAAAGGGTATCTGATACTTGTTGCAAGAGCACGAGGGCGGGATTTCGCCCTGCTCCTATCCTCAATCTGTAATCTTCAGCAAATGATTCAGTGCTTAAATTACTGGGAGAAAAGGACACCGAGAGTCCGTTGAGAGAACCAGTGGTCTCCTCCTATTAGTTAATCACAGTGGTGTTAACACGGGTGAGTTGGTAATGTGGACACGAGCAACGAACCACGGAGTTAACCACAGGTATGGGCTTGCGGGGCTTGTGTAATTTAGAGGTTGTTCGCGCTCGAACTTCAAGTGAATCCAAAAACCTTGACGGTGCGATGGCAATACTATCTACTGAGATGTATTCGCCCGTGGTATCACTCTGGATCTCAGACTGTAAAAAAGGGCTGGCAGAGGTGTCCTCTTCAGTGAATTTACTCGTGGGCTGATGTGGGGATTGCAGCAGCGAGAGAGCCGATAACGGTGGCGATTTGGGGGGAGGAGTCGGAGGTCGATCATGATCTTTGAACTTGGATAGAAATGAAAGGGAAACCTTGCGTGGCATAGTATCCGAGATCAGATAATAAGAGTCAAGGGAGGGTTGAGAGTCGGAAAGCACGCTAGGTCAGCACGGATCCTTGATTTCGTACGCTTTATCGACGGATAGGTTACCGCATCGCCGTTTTAGAATAAATCGTATCATAGATGGGCCCGTAGCAGTAGTGAGATCTGGTCATGTACTGACCAAAATATCACCGATACGTACTTGTGGCCCTTCATGTTGATGTGGTTGCTAATAGCTCGAACTAGTGGCATAAGAAATGTAAGGGACAACCAACTTCCGTTGTACTCATAAAATGCATACGATAAGTATCCAGAGCCGTCCAAATACAAGTGATTGACAATACAATAATGGAAACAGCAGGTAGTTTAATACAAATAATCACGTCGAGAGTAGATTATACAGTTCAGCATTATCCATCGTATCCAGGGGGCATGTCTTCATGGGCCGATGGGCCTGCAGAAGAAGTATACACAGCTAGGAGGAGAAATCAGCTGGCATATCACCGCGGAGAAAGCAGGACTCACGAAGACCTTCATCCTCTTCCAACGAAGACTGTCTCTTCATGTAGATAGCCCTTTCTCGAGTCTTTTCCAAGGTGTTTACAAACTCAAAGATACCGCGGTCATTAAATCGTATCTCCAACACCGTCCCATCATTGAGCCCACCGTCGGCCGATGGTTTGACGTCCATGGCAAGGTAGTTGGCACCAAAAAAGGGTTGTTCAAATTTCGTGGATAAGATCGAGGGCAGTGGTATAGAAAGCGAATCAAAGGACGGCTTAAGTTTGCCACCACCAGGGGTGGTAAACACTAGCTGGTTATTGCCATCGAAAAGATTAGATCTGTCAACTTCCACGCAAGAAAGAACACACACATACGCGTTGGTCCGTCAACCAGAGTCGACCGGTTTCCTTCATCCTCTTGACCCCACGAGGATCAATATTTCCAGTTCCTTGTGGTCTATCAGGGATCGCTAGAGCATATTCGACTTGTGAATCCACAGTGATTATCGTGTGCTCGTTTGGCAAAGGCACTGGGAGGCGCCGAGCATCCAGCATTGCCCAGTTTAAAGCCATCTTGATCTTGAATCTTGGATGTTTGGGATCGTCGGATAACGAAGCACTGGCGCTTGAAT